GCATTGTTAAAGAAGCTGCACCTGCGTAAAACCCTCTTTCACTCTCACCACTTGTGCTTTTGAATGAGTTTCTAGGTTTTTTACCCCATTAATTCATACCCTCTTAAATTATTAAATTAATAAAGTTTTCTTCAGCTGGAAGCAGAATCCAGTAGTCACAGATGCATCCTCTGTTGCCCTGGTAAATTCAAAAAGCCTCTTGTTTTTATCACCTGATGGGGCAAATGAGCTGCTGTATTGAGTCTGGCTGAGAAGGAGTTAATTTTCCCCACAGCAGCCCTCACAGCACTGTGCTGTGTATCAGTAGTGACCAAGGTGTTGATAACACACCAGTGTTTTGGCCACTGCTGAGCAGTTCTGGCACAGGATCAAGGCTGTCTCTCCAACATTCCCCCTCACCAGTAGGCTGGGGGTGGGCAAGGTCTTGGGAGGGGACACAGCCAGAACAGCTGACCCAAACTGACCAAAGGGATATTCCATACCATATGATGGCTGCTCAGCAATAAAAGCTAAGAGAAAGGAGCAGGGAAGTGGGGGGGCATTCATTATTTATGATGTTTGTCTTCTGGAGCAATTGCTATGCATACTGAAGCCCTGCTTCCCAAGAAGTGGTTGGATGTCGCGTGCTGATGGGAAAATAGAGAATGAATCTTTTGTTTTTCCTTTGCTTCTGCTTTATTAAACTGCCTTTATCTTGACCCATGAGGTTTTTTTCCATCTAATTTTTCTTTTCTCCCTGTCCTGCTGAGGAGAGGAGTGATAGAGCAGCTTGGTGGACACCTGGCATCCAGCCAAGGTCAACCCACCACAGCTGCAAGGGTGGGGAACCGTCTCCTGTCCTTCTAAGAGGTGACATGAGGAAACATCCTTTTCACCTGCTAGGTATCAGAAACTCCTTCATTTATTTGCACCCAAGAGCAAACTCAAACCAAGAGCGGGATGCGGCCATGCTGATGAGAAAACACTCTATCTCATCCTCTTCTCTCACTCTCCTTGTAAATCTATGTCTTCCCACTTAGGCCTCTGCAGTCATTCAATCTCTTCCAAGAGCTTTGTGACCAAGAGTCTCTTTGCTCCATGTTTCACCCATCTCTGAGCTCTCTGGCACGCACTAGCACTGGTAAATACCTGAATCCTATCAGGGAGAATCCGGAAACAAAACAGCTGCAGATAGCACCTGCAGCCCAAACAATCTCAATGACCCTCATGTGGTGCTCCTCTACCTGCTCCAGCCAGAAGCTCCTCATGGAAACAGAGCAAGCACCAAGTATGCACTGAGAGCACACAATGCAAATGTGTTTTTTCATTTCAGCTGGCACCAGCAGGGGTATATACTGAATCCAACTGAATCCCCAGTGGGAATTTGATAGCAGCGGAGAACAGTTCCTCAGGTTGAATTCAGTCAGGACAGTGGTGATACGGATCCTGGCCTTGCAACACCAGGCAAAGGCTTCTTTGAACAACCTCCACTGGGTAAAAACCTGGTTAATGCCTTACCTGCACGGCAGCAGTTAGTTCCCATTAGTAGGCTA